GTGCAGCAGAAATCACGTCCTCAATCCTCAGTTCGTAAAAAGCACGCTGCTGTGAAATATTGCACTTCCCTGATTCGGATCCCGCGCCCGAACAGCTGCGTGGGTGGGCCGTCGCGCGACGCCGCCAGCGTGCGGCAGCGTACCTCTCTGGTGCTGAGATGGCCCCTCACCACCTTGCCGTCGGCCTGGGCGGCCAGCAGCGCCGTCAGCAGGATCGCCGCACCGAACATGCCATCCGCACGTGCCTGGACCGTCTGCGACAGTCCCCAGCGGCACGCCGGCCGGGCGCCGCTAATCGATGCATCGAACGGTGGCGCGCGGGGCAGCTGCCTCACGAAACCGGGGCGCGCCGGCCGCGGGCCCCGGCACCGAGCCGGTCTGAGGTGGCGGTCCCGGCGCGGCCGAGCCTGTGCGCCCAGCCGGCTCTGGCTCACGGCCACACCAGCTCTTTAACGGACGTCTGAGCAATCCGTTCATTTGTGCGCGGCAAGGCTTCTCACACACCGCGCCGGTGGAGGACACAGGACCAGGGGGTTGCCGTGGAAACGGGTAGCAACAAAGGTGTTGATAATGCGCGCCTGGTGCTGTTGTGGCCGCAACTGGCCGGTAGTGCGACGCATGGACCTCCAGCAGTTGGTGACGCCATCGTACTGAGCTGAATACCGGACGGGGGTGACGCTATTTTCAATGGACCATTGGCATGACGCCTTGCAATGACGGTCGCATGGGTGTAAGGGCACTGTTGAAAGGTCACTGACCCATTTGCTAAGATTGAACGTGATATGTGAATACATTCACTGCGAGGCGCACACATTTGAGACCCGAGCCGGCACATAGGTAATCGGGGACATCACTTGGTATACTATTGTAAGGCCCGAGCCCCCAGACGCTAATTTCAGCTCCATGCCCCTCTGAGTCCCCCAATGCTTGTGGATAAAATCAAAACACCAAGCCAAGGACGCAATCGCGAGTTATCCCGAACTGTTTGTGCATGTATCTGAACACATAACCCAGCATTGCGCTTATTTCGTACCACAAAACATCCTGCATCTCTTCTCTTGCCAGCGTTATCAGACAGCGGCCTGATTTGGTGTCAAGTTTGAAATGCACGCAGAGTAGGATAAAACAGTGATTCCAACGGTTAGTCGTCATGTCTATCAGCCAGTGATGGCGGATAAGTTTTCGGATAGGGCGCCAGCAGCCTTTCATGGGCTCCTTGAGTATACCGCACTCTATGTGGCGCATATTGCTTCAATTGAGTCCTGGACTGAACAAGCAGTGAAGATCGGGCAAGCTGTTTCGTCGTGTGCAGCGCTGACCGTGTCGATCCTGTAACAACCTAGCGCTGGCTGTTTGATCGCGATTCATCAGTCTGTCTCTCGGTTGTGCGTCGGCCTGTAAATTTGCCAGCGAGCCTGCCAGTCAGTTGGCCTATAGGTCTCCCAGCGAGTCTGCCTGTCAGCTGTTCCATAGTTCTGCTAGCGGACCTGCCGGCCAATCAGTTGTAGGTTTACTGAAGACCCAGCAGACCCACTTGGCCTGACAACGGGTCTGCGGCAACAATCGGTCCGTAGTTCGGTCAACGGGCCGGCCGATCTGTTGGCCCATAAATATGTTTACCGACACTTAAATGATGTCGTTTCATTATAAGGGTTTTCGTCACAGATTTCGCTGATTTATATCGAATTTCAAGTTCTTCGTTTATGACTGAATGCGTTCTTTTCTATCATCATGACTTCAAGCGCGCGTTACTGCATAGCACGCGCAGACGGTCACGTCGTCGATCGCGATTCGGGCTGCAACCTCAGGCATGCTGAGTTTGGGCTTTGTCATAAGTCGGGGTTTCGCAGACTTTCTACAGAGCGATGACGTCACTGATGCTAAGGCTTCAATGCGATCCGGCTGCAGCCCGCGGGGCGTAACGTTGCGGGGCAGCCGAAACATCAGAAATCCTCGTACAGATGATGAGCAGTCTGTTAGCGGGAGGTGCATATGACCAGCTAGCCAATTACAAACAATCTTCTGGAGAGTATGACGATGTGTTTTTTATGTCCATGCCGCTAACTGCCTTCGCACCAATAATTAATAAACCGCTGGAACAGGCGCATGTAGATAGGGGACCCAATGCGTAGAATTTAATGGGCAGTATGGTGGTGCCCTTATTGCAAGTTTATAGCATAGCGGTTAAAATGCAATCGCCATGAAAAGCGAAAAAGTCCCCGTTCGGACTTTGGGAGATGAGAAGCCTAAGTAATAAGCAACGCTCTTACATGTGACAAGTATTAACTATTACTGGTATGTGCATCCCGCATATATTGGTTAATTAGTCAGGAAAATTAAAAGGGCAAACAGGAGTATGTGCTTTGCGACCTCATGTACAGCAAGCTGTTGAAATTAATACAATTTAGCCTGGGGCCCATGAGCTTTGACTGGAAAAAGTCATCAAAATGATTTAGCTTTTACGGGCTGGTTAGAGCAGTGTTACAGCAAGTTGAAATAAGCAAGGAATGCTCACAATTTGATGAAAGACAAAAACGCAACGCTAAACAAGTGGTGGCCGATGCCAAAATACAGCCAGCCGCGAGTCTCTTGTGTTTGTCTTCAATTTTCAGGCCAGTGCCTTGTTATGGCGTACCGCATGGGCTCGCAAAGCGCATCATCATGCTCCACATCAAATTAGATGTCATCGGCTTGCTGGGCATGTGCACTTTCCATGGATGGCTTTTTCATGCACGGCAGTTTCATTTTGCATTGTCATTTCATTCTTTCGATTTCATTTTTGTTTCACTTCATCGCTTACAAGTTTAATTTCATTCCATTTTTTGTTTCACTTCATTGCCCAATAATTGTTTTCACTCCATATCATTGCTTTAATATTGGCATGCTCCGGTTGCCCCTAAGCATTACGTCCAGCACCCCGCGCCCCTTCGCGCCTCAAGGTCGCGTAGATCAGTGACGTCATACTATCGTTGGGCGAAGATGAAGCGAGAATCACCGGACGGTTTTACCCCTCTTGGATGGGGGTGGAGGTTCTTGGCCGCAACACGGATTCGTTGGGGGAGAGTCCCCGACTGCGTTGCGATGTCCGTTGGCTGTCTGTTCTTGTTTCTCGCACGGGTCACATTATTGTTGTAGCTACTTCTGGCTGCTCTGTGCTCCTCATTTCTATGGGATTAAATTTTCCACCTGTCCTTTGGCATGGACAATGCAAATTACCTATCTGACGCAGGCTTTACTGAGCCGCAGCTGGCCAAACAGAAGCTGCATAGCAAAAGGGCATTTGAATTGATTGGACGGGCATTGAAGCTTGATGAAGAAAATAAGACTGGTAGGTGCTGTAGTCAATATCAGGTAGCTCACACGTTGTGCAGAAGTTATGATCATTTAATATTTTTAGGATGCTGATAACCAGGTACCACGGTACCAATCAGCAAGGAATCCATCCTTTGCTCCAGATATCTATGTGACATGTGTGTGCTGAACCCTGTGCTTATCTATGCAGAACACATGCCAGGCTGAATATCACTGAAATTTGAAGTCACTTGTGCCTCATTTTTTTGTTGTAAAGGTTTGGCAACAAATTATGTTTTCATTATTATGATTCCTGGCAGCATGGCTGTCATGTTCTAAGCTTGGTGGTTACTGTGCACAAAAGTTTAAAGTCACATATTTACTGTACACATGTGCTGAAGCTATTGCCAGAATATTGCTGCTACCCCTGACATGTTAAAAAACCATGTGGCCAAAGCACTATATATTGTTAGGGTGCAGTATATTGCAGTAATCATC